CCCAAGTAAACCAAAATCCTCAGGTCGGAGCAAACCTCTGAGTCAAAGCAAATTGCTAAGCCAGAAGAAACGGCTGCGAACTCCACCACTTGTAAGCTGGAACAAAGGGCTGAGAGAGCCCTTGTTGAGATCAAGGGCTGCAGCCAGCCTCTAACCTCACTCCGTTCTTGAATCTGCCAGGAAAGCAGCAGCTGTTTTCTCCAACAAATGCTCTCAAGTAACAACCAACTAGACGCAGTTTCTAATTTATATTCCTAGAGTGGAAAGAAGATAGTCTATAGCTAGAGAAGCCTTTACTGACTCTAAGCTCAGTCTCAAAATGAAGCCTGACTGTGGGTGCCAAAACCCCGTGGGCTCCCTCAAAGCTCTCTGTGGGAGGGTATGCCCAGGTACAGCAGTGTACTCCAGGTAAAATTAATAGATGCAGCTCTACTGGTATAAAGGTTTATTAATTAAAGTAGAAGACAAGTCTAACTCACAAGAAAATTCTCAGGATGCAAAGGCTTAATGATGAACGAAAGGATCAAAGCATGATTATTTTAATGCTCATAACTTTGCATGCACACTCCACTTTTGCCAGCCCACTGCTCCTTAAGACTCAAAATTACAATGTAAATCACGGAAGCGTTTCTCTTTAAACTCATCACAAAAACTCCGTTTGAGGCTGTGACTAATCTTGTCACAGTTATGGAATTTATCCCAAGGCAATCACTTGTCCATCTGCCAACAGATGCAATATAAAAACATGGGATGCATCTGCAAATCTCATCATGAGGGCTCCTCCTCATGAACTCCATCCATCTATACTCAAATGTAATAGGGCAGTCTTCTTGGGAGGACTCTCCAATTTCCTACAGCAGCACAGAAGACAGAGACCAAACTCCTTACAAAGCACATAGGCTTGTGAGTTAAAGATTCAAGAAACTATGAAATCTAAGAGAAACTGTTAGTTCTCCATTTCTTAATCAGGAAAGGCCCTGTGCTACCAGTTCTGTGCTTCACTTAAAGATCTAACAGCACAAATTAAAATGAAAAGCAAAACTCAGGGCTCTGAAAGCCTCAACAGATGTTCTGATTGTCTTCTCTGGAATTCAAGACTAGGGCTGCCAACGTTCCTGACCTTAGAAATGGAGAGAGGCAGAGTGTCCATGAACTTAGAAAAATACAGAGGAGGGAGTCTAATTTTAGGCATTGCAGTCCAACATATGTTTACATTAGGATTTCACATGTAATCAATGATGGGAAACACTCTGGCTTCTCATTTCTCTACAGACAAATCTTCGGTATCTAAGTTCAACGGCGTGAAAATTCTCTTTGCCCTAACTTTCTTCATTATTGAAAGAGCCTTTTTAAGCACTGTGCTCTCTGAATATGGGTGAGAAAGTGCTGTGAGGCGATCAGTGTCTCAAAGAGTTGCCCAGCTAAGACATTAAGCCCCTTCTGTAAAGGGCATCTTGGCAGCCTACAGGGCAACTGGTCCTTTGTGCGACATAAAAACTCTAATTCAAATCAGCAGTTGATGTCTGCTGTGGAGAGAAGCCTAAGAGAGGAGATACCCAGACCTTGTGCCCTTCCTCACAAACATCAGCCATTTATGTTAAACATTCATCCCAACAGTAGGCTTTGGGAACACCCACACTGGCAGCTTTTTGTTTTTTGCCCCAAGGCCTGACACCTTTCATAATTTCACTCCTGCTCAAAAAAAATCCCAGTTCCCTCAGAAAGAATATTTACATGGGGGCAAATATGGGGACCCACAGCCTAGCAGCAGCACAGATGCCAGACACGCCGCACTGCTTTGCCCTCCAATGAAGTTTCACTCCATAACACCTGCCACAAATGAGCAATAGAGCTTAGGCTGAGCAATCAAATATTCCCTGTAAGCACCAAGACCCTTAATTCTTAAAATACTTAAAACTAACAAGCACCTTAATAGAGACGTTTGGTCATGGCATCTCTGTTCAGAAGGGGACTTGAGGGGGACACAGGAGGGCTCTTTCAGTCTGCCACTCTCCCATTAAGCCCATCTGCATCAATGCTGTTCCCATCATCTGAGAACAAACAAAGCTGCTTCTTGTGATGTGGCTTTGCTCAAGTCATGAAAACAAACACCCATACATGTTAAATATGCTAACAGTGATGCTGCTCTGTTACAGTGTGAAAGGTGCCAGCAGGAGCAAGGAGTCAGTGCTTTCTGGAATAACCAAGCCAAGGAGCTTCTGCAGCTTCAGTTGTGACCAGCTCAGTGACTCCAAGCAAAGATACACCTACAGTAATGCTGTGCTGGAGAAAATGAAAGCCTGCCATTCTCCCCCTCCAGACTACAACTCTGTGGTCTTTTATTCTCAGCAACCCATTTAAGTACTTCTAGGCCAAGACTTAAATATGCATTTAATCCAAAAAGGTTCTTTTGAAACACTGTCAGTTTAAAAACTTTGACCCAAATAATTTTAATTATCCTAAAATTTAAAAAGGTATCATTGGCTTAATCTCAATGATCTGCTTTTCCACAGACTGCAACAAGCATATACAAAATATAGCAAAAATACTAATGCTTAGGCCTTGACTTTCCCAATGTTGAACGCCAACAGCTGCCAATAAAATTGCCCAGTGCTTCTGAAAAACTGGACGGTCATCATTACAGAGAAAACCAGTTTGCTGTTTGGTCCCTGGCAGCAGGATGGCATTTCGTGCTCTGGCGACCCAGCTCTTGCTCAGCCCCAGGTGCAGCATGGGTGTCCTGGTTGGGAGAGGCAGCTGGGAGCCCTGGGCAGCCCGCGTGTCAGGCACCGGGGAATGTGTACCATGTTGCCGCGCCCCGTGCAGTGCTGGAAAATAAAGGATTCTTCAAGAACAGAGAGAAACAATAAACAGACCACGCTCTATAGTTTTTAATGAAAACTGCTTTGAGAAACTTGAGGGAAGACTAATGCTCCAGGGAAGCTGAATCAGCTAGCTGGGGATGGGGTGTTATGCAGCTCTTAACTGCTTTGGATGGCAAATCCAGTAAGGACTCCTGAGAGGCAAGAATTTCAAATGTGTTACAAAACACAATTGGCAAGGATCGAGGAGAACCAAGATCAGAGCCAGGGCTGCAACAACAGGGAATACCAATCAGTTCGGTTTGGATGAGCCTGCTGAAGTGGAGTAAATATTCTTGAAGTTTTGCACTTTGTCAGTACGCCAACACACGCACACTGGAACCAAACCACAAGCTAGATATGTTAAAGCTAAGCTCTGTCCATGAAACCTCGTGGACCTTCTAACACTGCACTGATTATATTTTATTTATAGGAATGTGTCTGAAAGACAGGATGGCTACTAAACTGCACATACTTTAAATGAATTGATCACTAGAGAGTTTGAAGATAGTAGTTAGAAATTACAAGACAATCTCCTTGGAAAGTTAGGTCAGTTTCTCCACGAAGGCAGCTGAATTTCCAGGTTAGTTACCAGTATATATGTACAGGAATAAAAATGTATCATTCATTTGCAACAGACTTTTGTATAGCATCTCAGAAAAGGCATGAATGTTCTTTGTTCAAGAAGCGTAAGGATGCACCATTCCCTTTCACCTTGAATGCAGTATTAAAATGAGCTGGCCATTTAACACAGTAGTCCTGACAGCTTCCCAATCAACAATTGTTGCTCAGTTTCAGCTTCTCGTGATCCACTATAAAAACGTTAACTCAAATGCTACATATAATATGGTTCTGACCTCTTAAAACTCAGCTTAGGAGCTGTGAATTTAACCTACTAACAGACTTCAAGGCAAATGACCTTTCGTGTATTTACAAAGAAAAATGTTCTTGGATGTTCAAGTAAACTACGTACCACTACTTCTAAATATCAATTCTAGATCTTCCTAGCCAAGAGATCATCAGTTTTAAGCATCTATTGCACTGTCTCTTGCTGGCAAAGTATATTTGATCTTGATCAGCAGAAGAGTTCAGTTTAAGAACTGTTTCTTTACTCCAACTGAGCAAAAATAGTTATGGGATGATGCAGCGCAAAAGGAGATGTTTGCACAGTGTAAATATATAAATATAAGGAAACTGGACTACTAAGATTACTTTTATATGAACCTGCTAAGTTTCTTTGGATGTGAATAACTCCTATTTTATCTTGCATTTTCTGTCTTCATAGAATGTATTTGACTGCTAAATTCATATAATAAAGTTTGCTTTTGAAAGAATCCACAGAGTTCTGCCAAACTAGTTAAACCAGTCTCAGAGACTGCTGCAGTAGATGATTCAGCATGAGGCAGCACTAACACATCTGTCAAAAAGCCATCTCATGCATCAATTTTGTGAGCAAAGTAGAATACGGAATAATTGTACAGAAGGCACACTTCTCACTCAACAGTAGATACAGTGATGGACACTTCTGTTTCTCCCTGTGTGAGTGAAATCCCCTAGATTCAGCACATCTAAAGTGCTTACTGCTGTCTCTAGAGGCAAAAAAAAAAATTTAAAAAATCAGGTCTGCCTCTGGGAGAGGCAAGGTTTCAAGGTGGGGGGAAGAAAAGGCAGCCTGTTGACAGACATCCATTCAAGTGCTCCCCACTCCTGGTTGCTTCTGCAGCTAGAAGATCTGTTACAGAAGGACGGACATGAGTTAGCACCTTTGGCCTGGTAGCTGCTTTCTCTTCTTCAGAGAATCTCCACATGATAGAATCATAGCATGGCTTGGGTTGGAAGGGACCTTAAAGATCACCTAGTTCCAGCCCCCCTGCCACAGGCACGGGCACCTTCCACTAGACCAGGTTGCTTAAAGCCTCATCCAACCTGGCCTCCAGGTTGAACACCTCCAGGGATGGGGCATCCACAACTCCTCTGGGCAACCTGTTCCAGTGTTTCAGCACTGGAACACATTCCCACCCCATCCATCAGAAGCTGAGGATACTGCCTCCATGGAGGCGTTCACAGCTGAGTGCTCTCTGCTATCCAGCGTTTTATAATTTGACAGGATCTCTAAGCCACACTGCAGATAAACTGGACACAAGTGCCCGAAGGAAAGGGAGATGAAACTTCCACTGGGGCGGCAGAACATAGTAGGATCGCCTCCTGTGGCAACAAGTTCTCTAGCTGTTACTGCACATTACTGAAAGAAATTGCCGACGAGATAATTGCACCAATTGAGCTTGCTGCAGCTTTAGATTAGTCTCTATATAATAAAATTTCTAAAACTGCAATTTAAGGGATAATTACTCCCTGTTAAAGATATACAAGGAATATTGTCAATTTCACATATATTGCACAGAATTTGACATCACATAAGCATGGTCAGGACTGGATGGGTATAGATTTTACCCCACTGGTAACTCATCTCACCTTTGCTGGTTAACAACACAGAAAAATAGTTCTGGGAAATGAAGCTGTTGACTCCAAATGCAAATTCTCAGAGAAATTAATATACTTTGTCATTGGATAAAAAAGCTCAATAAACACAAAAGCAAGGGTACTTTCAATAAAGTTTTCAAAATTAGGGCTTGTCTCGTAAAGCGGACCTGACCCAACAGAAGCAGATGGGACTTGGGAGTTAAGGAAATGCGTATCAGTATGATTCTAGTCAACAACATCTATAAGCTTTAGGACATCTGATACACCGTTAAGTGGCAAGCACTAAACACACTTTGTGACTCAAGATTGTTTAAACTGAGCATTGCAGACAGAGTGAATACAGAAGAAATCTGACAGAATGAAACACAACTCCAGCACCAAAGCTGGAAAGCCCTGCATCCAACTTCAGAACTTCACATTGTCAAAGCAAGGCCATGTTATTTCTGGTATTCTTTATTAAAAATACTGCTGTACACATGAAGAATGAAAACAGGATTAAAGATGAGTAACACATATTGGGATCATGACATTAGAACTTAACATACTGGTGCTTTTTAGGGGAAGCAGTTGACACCTGAATTACTGAAACAAGGGCAAATCAAAAATACAAGGTACCCTCAACAAAATATTTACAATATAGTAAATACAGTAACAGAATTTAAAACAGGTACAAAAATTAAAATGACCAACATCGGATGATTTCAAAGGTTGTCCCTTCTGTGCTTTTAGCTGTAAAAAATAGGAAGGTCAGAATTAAGTTTCCCATCTGGGAGGGCACATCCTGGTGGCTCTTCTTTTTAAATACAGATACACAGTTCTTCCTATGAATGGATCAAACTACAACTTTAGGACAACATTCTAAATGGAATTAAAATGGGGTAGAAGGGCTCTCCCCAAAAAAACACCCAAGCTGAACTTCAGACTGTTCAAATCATTCCCAAATACAGACCAAATGAAATAAATAGAAAACAAAGCTGAAAGTTTTTTATTTTATGTATTACCTGACACCAAATATTTTCTGGCTGACATTACGTATGAAAACTTATTAGCTGTCTACCTTTTTATTTTTAAACCAAGTCCTGAGGTTACTAGGGGCTGAAGCAAACTGACATTATGCAAATACACACAGGTTTGCAATTTAGACATGTCTTGCAGAGGGTGGTTTGCTGGTCTAAAAAGGATGAGAATTCAAGCCCTATTTTACCCCTGCCTTACACTTTCACAAAATATTGGTCCACAAATTAAATTTTCAAAGGTTCCCAAACCCCACAACTGAACAGATGATCCCCTTTCATTTTCAAAGAAAACAATACTGGAAAAAACCTCAGCCCGCTTATAAATTAAGCATTTCATATTTCTTCTAGAATACAAGTACTTCTTTTTTGTACAAAAGAATTACAATATGATTTGTCAAAAAACATATAAAAGACAGCTGCTCTTCCTCAAATACATGAGCTAATGATAAAAGACTGTTTTGCATGTTCACTTTTCAAAGTTCCTGTTCCTTTTATATTAAAAAGAACATTCTGGCAACTGTTATCGTTTGAATATTAAACATTATGTTCCTTTTAAAATTCATTCCATCAAATGCAACAATAATCGCTTTTTAAACTCAACAACTGATGCTACCTAATGTGGAGTCAACCACATTTTCTAAAATGTGTAAAGCATGTCCCTAGTCTTCAAAGCTTTCGATGTGAAGAGAGTTGCTTTTTTTCTTGATGCAAGTCTCAAGGCGGAGAATCATTTTAAAGCTTATAAAAGTGGACAGAGAAATATTAAAAACTTCTCTGAAAACTACAAATATTGAGAATTATTAAAATTGATGTCAGTAACATCAGTTGCAAGTGCTTAGAGTCTGTCCTGACCTTTTGAGTTTCCACATTTTCTTCATGGTGAGCACCCAGTGCTATTAAAACATTCAGTGCTGGGAAAGGATAGATACAGTCTTCACTACTGCTTTAAGAAAGGAAATTCCTACATATTTGGCAGTCTTCAGTATCAAAGTGTAGGTGTTTAACTAGAAATCCCACGAATACC